CTAGACTGACATACCGTCTTCGCTCAGAATCGTTTTTCTTATACAATGATATTGTATCATTGAATTCAAATTTAAAAGCATCCATTATACAGTGACCCACTTGTAACCTACTGTACAGCAGAGCGACATCCACTTACCCACCTTTTTTTTTAATGAATTTTAGTGCTTTTTTTCTTTATTTTAAGTGTATAATTTTATTGTTTTATAGAGCTACAAAACCCGAACTCTAATTGAAAATAATTTGTAAAAAAAATGTTTTTATACTTATAAATTATTACTAAAAGAATAAAGTTTTATTTTTATGGGAAATAAAATAATTTAATTTAGCCATACTATAAACAATATAAGTAATAGATTTTTTGATATTTAAATAATAATATTGCTAAGGAACAAAAATATTGTTTAAAACTGATTGTTATTTCATCATAATAATTATTATTCAATTTTCATAAACTTATGAATATTGATGGTTAAGATTTGGTATGTATTTTTTGATTTAGATTTATTACATATTGAATGAATTTATCACATGTGATCAATTTATAAATGGTAACATTGTTTGTTGTAAATGTACACTTGATTTATTATTTTCTATCTATTAACTTAGCTCTCTTTTTAGAGTTGTCTCTCTTTTCAGCACAAGCTTTGCTTTTGAAAAGAGGTCCAATTTATGTATTTTATTTGTAACATCTATGTTATTTAAACATTTTTAACTTTGTGGCAATTAAATATTATTTACTAGGTAGCTTTTTTACTTACTATTTACTTGTGTAATATATTGCTATATACAGGGATGGGCAAGATACTTAAAAATGAGTATCGTGAATTACAATATTAGATACCTACTAGATACTTGTCTATGGAGTATTGTAATACTAGATACTCAATATTCGATAGTCACTGCATTTGAATAAAATGAATCACAGGTATTTTAGAATTTATATTTATACACATATTGACATATATATTTTATATTATAGTTAATTAGTAGACTACAGTTTATACTAAATAATAATAATAATATTCTAAAACGTAATTAATAATTGTTATTTATGTACATAATTGTTTAGATAGTCATCATAAACTACCGTCAATAACATAATTATTATACTAGTATTCGTATTATAGGCACCTACTTAAATTACTATTATACTATTATTATAATCATTCTTGTATAGTGCTCGAGTAAAAGTATTCAAAATTCAAATAATATTTAGTCACTCAAATACATATGTTTAATACTTTAAAAAAAAAGTACTTGCTTAAAGTATATATATTTAAAATAAAATACTAATTTTCAAATACTTATTCCTTTTGGTTCATCAGTTTTCTATATTAATTTTAATTTAGATTCTTTGACAAAAAAGACGATTTTATAGTTAAATAAAATGATACAGTGTTAAAATAATACTCTTTAAATTAACAAAAAATATGAAAATTGGATAAGTTGATTTAAAAGGTAAAAAAAAATATTTATTAAATAGTTGAATTGAAACTATCTACAAATACTTTTTTTTTACTGAGTATTGAAGTATGTATTTTAAATATTTTCCAAAATAATAATCTGTAACTGTAACTGTAATTGAATACTTTTAAAAAGTATCTTTTGTAAGACTAATCATAATACTACTTTATGTACTAGATATTGAATTTTAGTAATTTTGGTATGTTATTGATGTTTAATTATAACGTTTAATAATAATAGTCAGGGTTAAATGTATTGCAATACAAAATGCTCCTTATTTTTAGTACTGTATCAGGAGTAGGGACACAAGAAACAAGATTCTAATTGTATTTAAGATTAAGATACTGCCCAACCCTGACTACATATATATATATATATATTAAAGAAGTTATTTTTAAGTTTAGCATAACTTAAATAAACGCATTAAAAATATCAAATATCTTTATACGGTTATTAGAGTATCTTAAAAGTTGAGTTTAGATAGGAAGGTAGTAAAACTTAAAGTACCTACTCTGTATCTTGTATCGAGATACTCTTTTTGTGGTATCTTGCCCAGTCCTGACAACATTATAAGTTGTACCTCTGTAATACAGGTTTTTCATGCTTTAATGCAAAATACATAATGTTCAATTTTAACTTGTTAAAAATTGCCGAGACATCGCTATTTTTATTACATTATTGTTTTATACTCAGGTAAACTAATTAATTACTATACTTAAATCAACGAGAGAACCCAAGTCAGCGGTGCTTAAAACTCGTCTATTGCTACGTATTCCCACCAGTGCTCAGCTGGGAGGAGGGGGGGTTATTTCAATATAGTAATTTCCTGTCTTGTATTAACTTGTGTTATTTTTATTTTAGATTCTTACCTTTTAGGACAGTAAAAGTGCTTAGATTTTCTTCAACAGTATCTTTTCTGATAGGAAAGTGAATCTAGTTGGTACTTTGGGTGATCAAAAGTAAAAATGTCTCGGTAGTTTTCAAAAGCGACGTGAAAAACAAAAGAAAAATTAAGGAAAAACGGGAATTTTTACGCAAAATCTGTTTTCGAGAAAATCGATTTTGGTTTTTTGTGTAACTCTAAAACAAATGACCGTAGATACATGAAATTTTTACTGACTGTTTATATTAGCATTTTCTACACACCATGCCTTTTAAAAAATATTTTGAGCTGTTTACGGACATACCTATCAGTTTCCAATTTTTTTAGTTTTTAATTCTATAATTGTCAATAAAATGTTATTTGTTGGGTAAATTGGGTAAACCCGCCTTTTTTAAATGGATTATTTATAAATTATTTTATATGATTTAAAAAGGGATATTAGGAGATGTGGGGGCATAGCCCCTACGGCTCAATAATGTTTAACAAGTGATGAGGATTGAGGACGCTCTTTTTTTAAAAGTAAACAGAGTCTCCTTTAATTTTGCCAAGTCGAGCACTGTTGTGGGCACTTATCTAGCGCGTGCGTCTCCGCCGCCGCTAGACTGCGCAGAATCGATGTTGTATAGGGTTAAAGCTACCCCGTATTGCGAGAATTTAAGCCTCGAGAATGCGGGGATCGCGTTGCCTAGGTGATTTGAGCATATACCCCGCTCCATGAGAGAAGTTATACGCACCGTGCATCCGACTGACGCCGACGCCTGGCGTAGCAAGGAGTCCCAGTTTTTCCCACTCCTTACCACGACCCCTGCCGAATTATTGAACTATTGACGATCGTAACCTCACGGGAAAAAGTGGTGGGAGACGCGCAGCGACGGACGAAAAACTTTGTATCTTCTCTTTTGGAGCGGAGAACAAAAGGTTGCTAGTTGCTACCGATATCGTAGACTCAATAATACGTTGACACGGTCGGAAGGTCTGACATATTTTGATATAATATATTATTGGTTAATATAATAGTCATATATTAAAAATAACTAAACTGTTTTATTTTTTCATGTAGGTAGTTAAAGTTCTACACAGTCATTTCTGCCAACCAGAAGCACCTACAAATACATCACTAATTTGTATTATTGGTTTTTCTTCAAGAAATTATAACTTGGTAAGAATAAATATTTAATTGCTCTCTTAACATAAGTACCTACCTAAAAATTATTCAGAACTAATTTTACATATTAGTAAATTCCTGATTTATTTTTACATCCATTATTAGTTTTGTAATATCAGAATTCAATAAAACCCTTCACTTTCATAACTGCAGTTCTCTCAGCAATATTTATTATCCGTCTGGATCCTTATATTTTATTTTTAAATTAATTTATATAGTTATATTATTTTCAGATAATTACTATATTTTCAAAACATTACATCTTATTATTTTCTTTTGTATAATTATATTTAATTTTTCAAAACAGATTTAATAGCCTTATTAAGGCGGCTCTAAACGATTGGATTTTTCATGCATTTAGACCAATAAGCTAGCGAAAAATACACATATTTCTAGTAGTCAAATTTTAATTTTGAATACTTATTTGGATTCGTTAGCCTCTTTTCTATGATCTGTAGGAAAAAACTTTTTCATCTCTTTGTCTAGTTACCACTTAAAAGTGCAAGTTAAATTTGAGAAATCAAGCAGTCATTTGGAACCGTAATATACGTAAATTATCTAAAATATCCAAAATCGGTTTCCTATAAATCATAGAAAAGAGACTGACAAATTCAAATAATTTTTCAAAATTGAAATTGGACTACTAGAAGTATGTGTATTTTTCGCCAGCTTATTAGCATTTTTCACTGTTGTGAGTGTATAAAAATATTTTTCGAGAGTGATTACGTTGACTTGTGCTTGCGCGTACGTGTGCTATTGAACCGTGTGCCCGCAGCCGGGCGATATAAAATCTATTGTTATAGAGTTCGAATTTTACACTAATAATCATTTACGACTAACAAAGATTACGGGCGGCGACAACAAGATTAGAAATTGCCTAAATTGTTCCCCTTAAATAATAGCCACTAAGAGCCGCCTTAAAAATGTACTATTTATATTCCGTAAAAAATATTTCAACTATGCTGTGCTCCAAAAACCTTTTCACTACCCGTGCACTCCACTGTGAAACACCAACCTGTGCGCCTCATAATATATATTACGTTTGTTTATTATTAAAGTTCGGATTTGAAGGCAAAAGCCTTTTTTTAATAATAATAATAGAGAAATCATTTTTATATAAAAATGCGCGTCATTTAATGTGTAAGATGATGAACGTATTTTTTTTTGCTTTTTTTAAAAAATATTTTGCTGATAAATTCCTTTTTGCCTTTTTCACTTATAAATGCCTTTATTGTGTTTAATTTTCAATTGAATTAATATTTTTATATACGACATACGTATAAACGATACAGATCGATAAGATTTTCTGAAGACTGTGCATTGTCAGGCTGTTAATTATAATGCGTCAGTCCGTCCCGATTACATTTTCTATGTAAACAAAAGAGTATACAAAGAGTTTATTTACACTAAAACAGATGTTATCTTACAGTCATGACAATAAATTAATCTGTTATTAATATTGTACAATTTAAATGTTAACAGATATCATGGATAACATTCACAGATACAACAAGGAGCAATTCTTCTTTTATGAACTTCTAAAAGATATCCAGGAAGATATTCATTATATAAATGATAAACCAGGCAAAGTGTACATAACTTTAACGGAACATTTAAATAATGTGAATGCTAGAGTACCTGAAAAATTTAGAGCAGATGAACTTGTTGACATGGAAGAATGTATAAGAGATGCAGTGAAAGATCTGACCGATCTTGATCTTAACACTTACCTTTGTACTGGAGTTGTTGTTCTATCGGAATATTTAGATTCCCCAGAGGATATGTTTGAATATATTGGGAAAAAAAAGAGAGGCTTGTAATTTGTACTTTAAACTTATTAAAACATTTTTGTCTTCATTTTTACTATGTAGTTTAGAATAATAAGTAGCCAAGTAGTTACTATATAAAAGTATCAATGTTTGAATATTGATAATGAATCATGCATGGATCCAGAAATCTGAAATGGTGAGGGGCTACATTTTTTTCAGAAAAAATACCATTGTAGTTTTAGTACATAATGTCATAGTAGATTACAGATAACATTAAAAATAAGATTTAATAACATTAATAAGAATTTTCTTTATATTTAAAATTTTAGAATTTTAAGACATTTAAACTAGGTATTATTTATTATAAAAAAAATATATACACTAAAATATAACATTCCCAAATAGAGATTTGCCTGTAATGAATCAGTTAATATAATATTATAATAGCATAGTAAAAATCCAGAAAAAAAATAAGCTCTTTAATAATTAGGTATATTTGAATCAACCAATATTTTAAAAACAATTTTAAGATTACTTTATACAAGATTTTATTTATTACATAGGTTTTTTTTTTAGAGTATATTTAAAAATTAGTTTTTATTATTAATTTACATTATTTATCCTATTTAATTAATTTTTTCATTTGATATTCAACAATTTTAATTTAAAATATTATACCCACCTATATTTAATGTAAAATTAATAAAAAAAAACTATTTCTTATGGAATTCCTATTTAAATGTTATGAACCCACTATTATTTATAAGTAGATATTATTTTTTTTTTAAGCTTTTACAATTCAAATTCAGTACAATGATGATTAATCTTATCGTAGTATTAAGTATTAGTATTAGTGTTTAGTATAAACAATCCGTAGAAATAAGATTTTAATGATGTAATTAATTATTAAATTGCTGTCAACACTGTCTTACAAAAAATATAATGCTTATATACCTATATCTATATATGAATAAATGTATTTAATTACAAAGGTATAATGGAAAAATCAAACTAATCTAATATTAAATTTGAATACTTGACCTGATTAGGGCATTGTCAATTAAAATTAAATTGCAAATATATTTGCAATAAATATATATTTCATTTCTGGTCAGGTGGCACTGCTGGAAGCCTTCCTATTATGTTATTTATGTCTAATGTTCCTCTGTCACCTCACTTACTCATTATACCTCGTCTGTTGTATAGATTGAAATAAAAAAAAAATAAAAAAAATATGGTTAAAAATTTAAATATATTATATAAATATTATGTTAGTCAATGACTAAGTAATTAAGTAGGCAAGTATAATATTATAATCAGAGGCTTAACTAGTATATTTTAGCCCCCCTGTCATAACTCCTATACTTCCACGAATGGTAACTAAATTTACAAATTTTAATTTAAAATGTTAGGTTTTTTTATGTATAAAAAGCGTTGTGTACATTTTATTACATACTAAATAGAAGTTTTCAATAAAGTAAACACAAAAATAGTCTTTGCCCAAGAATAATAGATTCGGGATTTTATTTTTGTAACATAAATGTATAAATGTTTGTACGAATAACAACTAACCAGACAAAAAACGCAGCTTAAAAAGACCGCTTATAGGGACCTCTAACAGAATCAAATTTTATATTATATTATTAAAATATCATTTATCATCATCTTTTGATCTTCATTAGTACAACGGTTATCCGATGGTTTGTATTCTGGTCAACGTCGTTATTATTATTATAATAAATTAGTCAAATTTTGTTTTCATGTGTTTTTAGACTTAAATAAATATAAAATAAATTAAACTAAATTGAAATCATAAATGTTGGTTGGATAATAAATTATTAATTATTTAACTGTATTATCATTATACAATCACCAGGGTTATTTAAAATGTCTAAGGACTAAGGAGTATTATTCAAAAATCTATAGTATTGTTCCAAATGTATATTAAATGCTATATTTATCACTTTCTGTTCCAATAAGTTCCACATCTAGTGAAAGAACATTTTCAGAATAAATACTTATATAAGGGAAACTATATTACTAAATGTTGTCTATTAGAGCTATTGAAACATTTTTTTAAATAAAATCCCAATACTGAGCATTCCGTGAGCAGAAGCTTAAACTGTAATGACTAGTGTATTATTTTATTATTTTTCACAAATTATTTTTAAGATAACTATTATACTCACATTTTAATAATAAAATAAAATATTGATTTATTGATTTACATTTACATAATATTTAGAAAACAATCAATGTAACGCGTTTGAGTGGGATAAGGGGCTCCCCCCCTTAATTTACTTCTAATACAAATCATAGGACTGAAGCCTCCCTCCCCCTACATTTAAGGTCTAGTAAAGCCTATGAATAATGAATTTTATTAGGACATGATATTATATTAATAAATCTATATGCATCACATTACTATACACTCCAGTGGCCAATGAACTTGATTTTGCTTCATTAGCGGAGTGGAGGTGGATTATGGGCTCTAACATCTTAAAAGGATTGTTAGCTGCTGGTAGAGTAGATTTCCCAACCTTCCTCTCCATTATAAATTTTAATGTTCCACTGTGCACCTCTGGTTCCATTACTACTTTTTATGCCCATCTGTGTACCGCTAATTAAACGTCAAATGAGCCTATAAGACGTTTATCTAATGCCAATACGGACCCCAATCTTATCTTTGTTAACCACCTCAATTTTATAAGTATTAGCATTTTGTTATATTTTTAATTTGTAAATTGTTTGATTTTGTTGTTATCTAATACTTTCTTTTAATTTATTAAATATCTTCATTTCTTGATCGTAAATCGCATATCGGACCATTTTTACTACCTACCCCAAAAGTTGATGACAGACAGAAAGATAACACTGTCATTGTAACAACAATACAATGAAAATAATGATTGTACATTTGTCCGTAAAGGTAAGTACTAAGTGCCCGTATTACAATCGTTAAACTAAGGTTAAACCACCGAATTCGGCCGGTAAAATCAGTAACCGAGGTTTAAACTATGATTGTAAGACAAGCCCTAAGTAAGGTAATCTCTTAGGGCCGCTTTCACCAATACTTTAAACTCCGATTAAAGTTAAACCGGGGTTTAATCGGCCGAATTTGCCCGGTTAAATATCTGTTATCAGTCGATTAAGCGTAATCGAAGTTTAAAGTATTTGGTGAAAGCGGCCCTTAGTCATGGCTCAATGTTTATAGATGGTACCCAAAACCCATAATATGTTAGGTATGCATAGCTGTGCGCAAGGGTAGGGCTGATTGGGTTTTGGCACTGATTTTTTTACACGTGGATGGGTTCGTACCTTATGAAGACATTACTAAAAGTAGATATAGCCCTTCTAGATTTTAAACCTAACTTGTACCTAAGCGCCTTGATAATAATAGAGATAATGCGGCTAATATATCATTTAAAACATTTTATAGCAAAGAATATAAATCTGTGTTGGATGGGTTGATGTCACTGATGAAAAATCATTTAGAAAGTTGCATTGGTACAATTAAACCATTATATTATAATCTGTTCAATCCCCTGTATCAAGAAATAACTTAACTGAATTTGGAATTCAAGATGCAATGACATTTTTACCCAAACAATTTGTTGTAGACCCGTTACATTTACAGGTTGAGTTAGAAGTACTTTAAGACCAATGCAAAGCAGTGAAAACTGTTTCAGAATAAACAAAAAAAAATGCTTGTTATAGCTAATAGAATGTCTCGTTTACTGTGTACAGCTCCAGTAACTGTTGCTGGAAATGAGCGTTCATTTAGTAAGTTAAAGTTGGTAAAGGATTAGTTAAGGACAACTCATCAGAGTGACTTCCGTTTAAGCGATTTTCTGTTAGTTTCCTCGGAAAAAGACATAATAGATGATATTAAGTTAGATGTTATTGCTAAACAAAGGTCAATTTAAAAAAAAAAGAATTTGTATTTAATAATTTTTTGTATCTAATACTTTTGTTTTAAGTACATCCTCCAAAAATCAATTATATTTTTGTGTAAATAACAGTTTTACATTTTAATATTAACTTAAGAACACTGGTAATATTGTACAATAAAAAAATTAATTCAAAAATAAAACATATCTCATAGATGTATGCACATTTTTATTTTTTAATAGTCAGTCAACTAAATGGACTTGGTTGCCCCCCCCCCCAAAAAAAAATGACTTTGATACGCCACTGATAATTTAACGCTTACCTACTCTACAGTTGGATGCAATCAAACAATTTTTTTGTTTACAAAACTAATAAATTTATTTTACTTGAATAAGCATACGAGTGCCGATGCTGATGAGACTACCTATATTATTTAATTATTATGTATTATTATTATGGCATTCAGAACCGGAGAAACAACATCATATATCTATTAGTACCTATTAGTTGGTATAATATTTGTATATAATACCTATATAAATTTAATACAACTAAAATTAACAATTCATTTTACCCCAACCCCATCAAAAAAATAATTCTGGATATGTCCCTGTGTTTGTGTACATGTAGTAGGTACTTACAAGTAAATTGTACATAATATAGAGTATAAATATAATTAAAATAAAATGTATTTAAAAGAACTTCTTTTAACTAGGTATAGGTATTTACATTGATAGTTAAATTAGTATCTAATTAGGTACTAAATTTTAAAAAATAACAATATTTATCATATTATCTTGTATTTATAGCCTGCTATTTAATAATATATTATTTGTTAACTGTTATACTATTGTAGTCATCAATCAAAAATTTAAACAATACCTACCTTATTATGTACAATGATAATTTCAATAAATTACTTAGAACTTATATTATATTTATTGCTATCAAATTAAATTCTTTATGGCTTTCAGCTGGGTATATTGATAACAATGGATGGGAAATATATTTTTATGTTCTTGATGTCTATTTTTCATAATGATATATGGCGACAGTCTTTGTACATAATATCGTATATATCAGTATATGGAGTAAGAATATCAAATATTATGTATATTAGGTATATGTAAGGAATTTGAAGTTGATTCCCAGTATAATTATTTGTATGCATGATTTGTGTCACACATCACTTGATGCTTGAAGTTCCAAATCCATTACAATGGACAACATTTTAACTTTTGCTTGAATTAATTGGGGTGGAAGTTTTTGATCGTAATGCCCAGACTTTTTAAAAAAAAATCTACATCATCGTATTCCTCAGAATTATATGATTCTGGCTTTGTTAACATCTCTGATCTTTCTTTTACCTTTTTTTCTAATTGTTTCGTATTAATGCGTGCTTCTTTTATTTTATTTTTCTGTTGTAGAGGTAATGGTTAGGTAACTTGAGTATCAGTGGCTTCTTCGTCTTCATTTCGCTCAGAGTTGGAATTTTCATCGTAATCCATAACATTAATATGTGATGTAAGACTGTTGGAATATAATTAAAACGTTATATGTATAATGTATTATAAAGGTAATAAAAAAATTGGTAAGTAATTAATTGAAAAGTATACAGTAACCTACAAACATTATTAATAGTACCTATATACTATGTATAGTGTAGTATTGTAATATTCAAGTGTAGCAAGTTAAATAATTTATCAAGTAAAATAACAATTTACTAGTCTTCCTATGTTAACATTCACTACAACGAGTGAGTGATCATTATGTTAAAACACATTAAAAATTGTGAAATTGTACTTTCAATTTTGCGAAAGCAATTTTTTTTATATGTTACATAATGCTAACATAAATAATTTACCAAATATGGGTAGCTAGAACAGATTTTGGTAATACAATCTTATGAATAGTAGTACAAATAAATTAAAATTGCATGATATTACTTACACTTTATCTGGTAGAACATCTAAACATTTTAAATGCGGTGCTAAGTTCCATTTGGTTGATTTTAAAGAAACCCTTGACATTTTCATCCCGGGTCTCATTTTTCTCGATCTTTTAATTTTCAAATATGTGTCTTTTATATTTTTATATCTTTTTTTTGCAGTCTTCTACCTAATATAAAAAAAAAAAAACTAATATAAATCTCAGCAGTTAGTTTCTAAATGGAAATGTTTTAGTTTTTAGGTAGGTCGTTACACCCTCCAGCATAATATTATGTTGTCTCTGTTTTATTAACAGAGTATGACATTTAGTAAATTTGAGTTTAGAAGTTCCAGTTTTTTGTTGTTGGCTTTAATATTACAGTGGTTACCTACAATCAAACCTAAAGGTTAGAACATTGTATATGTTTTCTTGGTCGTTTTTTACAATATTTAAATTTTTAAGTGAGTTGTAGGCATTTTTAAATTTTAATACTCTACATACTCATAACTCGCTTAAAAATTTAAATATTGTAATAAACCAACAAGCAAACACAGATTATGTATTTGGACCTTTTAGTTTGATAATAAGTCAATTCACTTAAATATTCAAGCTAACCACACAAAATTGGAACTACTAAACGTAAGTTTTTGTTGATAACGTCGTTTTAGGTATTTTACTTGTAAAAATGTAAGTATAAGTTATAAGACGTAGTACAAATGTATAATCATTAATCATTTTAGTCTTTTAAGAATATTATAAAGTTGAATATTTGTTTTATAATTTGTGCACATAGGTACCTACCTAAATTTAAAATTAAGGAATTTTAGTAGGTTATTAGTAGGATATTCAATATAATAATATTTATACAGCTAAAAATTAACTTAATATATTTAAAGAATAATATGTGAATATCCATGGCAAGGAAGCAATTTAAAAAAAAAATTAGATAGGTACCCATATCAAATTGTAAATACAATATTTTGAAATACATGAAAAATACGAAGTAGGTAACTTACATATTAAAAAATATTTAGGTATTAACATTTGTTATTCTCTGTTTCTGCCAATTATTTCATTTATTTCCTTCCATATTGCTTTTGTAATATATAATAATTTATAATCCTTATTTTGTGGATTATAAATTGACGGATATTTGGCAACGCATTCTACCAATCGTTTATCTTGTTCTTTAGTGAATTTCTTAAGAACATACGACCTTAATCGGTTATTCATTTTTTTAAATATGATATTAATATACTATTTAATAGGTGAATAGGAACTAAGGGGTGAATGCCGCCGAATAGGAACAAAATGAGAAAAATTTGTTTTGAATTGTTTACGTAAAAAAAGTAACAAATATTTATGATAACACCGGCACTTCGTTTAAAACAACATTTAGATGATATTTGGTAAGCACGACTTTGTTATCACTGAACACTGATAAACTTTTATCATAATCATTTTTTTTTTTTTGTGAAATTTAAGTACTCGTAAAATTTAGTAGGAAAGTCATACTACGGAGTTGAGGAAAGAAATTATTGTTGCGATTATTAAAAGTTAATAGACATGTATTAATAAAAGTTCCCACACACTGCAACGGTGGCGGTAGCGGTTACGGCAAAATGAGTCCGGACACAATTTTACCGCCACCGCCAAGACAAAAGAATTTTACCGCCACCGCTGCAGTGTGTGAGTGTGACGTTCTTAATGATTTGTTCAATCACAATGGAATTCATAATACTTTTCGAGTAAAAAATATGCTTCAAAGTTAAATACTTCTAATCTGTGTCATTGCGATAAACAGGAACACTGGAAAATATTAACAAATTTCAATACCTACCACATTTATTAAAAATGTCTACTACCTACCTACCTACCTATATAATTTATATGGACTAGAGTGCATAACAAAAATAATAATAATTATTAAGTTACTTAAAAAATATATGAAAATAGTTAAGTTATTTTAGCAATACCTAGGTCCTAATATAACTACTCGTCGCTATTCAGGAAAGGTTTAAATTTAGATCGCCGACCGGGACCGCAATAGGGAAACCAACCATATTTAGCACGATAATTATAGATAATTATAGATTGAATTATATTGTAAGCAGGCAACTGACAATGGCAAGTATAGTCGTACGATCAAGATACGCATTATGCAATACGCCGATAAGTAGGGAGCGATCTACTACCGCTGTTCGAGTTCTCCAACACCGTACCATCCAAAATTACTTTTTTAATAGTTTTTTTTTTATTATTATTCTAATGACTGTTGACTAATGATATTATCATTTATTCTGTATTTTGTGCGCTTCTATGTGTTATTGTCGAAGACAATGAATGAATTAAATATAGAAAGTATTTTGAAATAAATAAATTATTGCTTTAATGGACGAGTTACAGACGTAAATAAATACACAGGCACTATGTAGGTACTGAGATTGAGCTAGAAGTAAGTAAGTACTCGATACGGGATGGGTGGAGATAAAATGATTAAATTAATTGAGTGCCAATAGTTGCCAATATTTGCCATTGAACTCCCTGTATAATATATACGTAATTAGGAAGACCGAAGACGTACCTAATATTAATATATTATACTATAATATCATATATAGTGATCATGTTATTATATTATAGTTTAATTATTGTAGTTGCTATGATATCTCAAACCTCCAGAGCTACTTTAGCTCTGATGCATAATCTAATTATTATTTTTTAATTTCTAGGATTCGTTAAATAATTGATTCTTCTCATCATCTATACTTAGAATTATCTAGCCATCTAGGTGTGTAGTCCAGGGATTGTAACCTTTATGTTTTTTTCGGTTTCGGTTTCGTTTCGGTTTTTCAAAAAAATATTTTTAAGGTTTCGGTTTTAATTATAAATTTCAAAAATATGAAATTGAGGTTGCGGTTACGGTTGTGGTTTATACCGGTTTTAACCTGTTACAAAAAAAAAAAAAATATTTTAAAATTTTAAGCGATTATAGAACCGTACTAATACAACCAAAAAATATGTATAGGTACCTACAGATAAACCTGGTAGTTTTCAACCAAGTCTAGGGATAGACAGCTCTTTTAACAATCAAAAACCGTATGATAACATATATTCCAACTTAAAATTACAACTAACAAACTTATGCTTTAGTATTTACATTTTAACTTAATTAACAATTATTGTTGTAAACTTCATTAATGTGTTGACTATTGACGACAGAGACGATTAAAATATCACCACAACTCAATACAAAAACTTTCAGATGATTGATGTTGATTGTTGAGGGTAAAGATTCTAAATTGGAAGGTAGGCGTAGCACTCATTTTGGTTTAATATTAATACTTATTAGTATTATAATTCTCAAATAACAGTGTCGAGGCCTAAGAGTCTATTATGATTTAGGTTGAGACTTAAAAATTAATAAAATATAATACATATTTTATAAGCTTTCTTTTACAAGATTTTATATTTTAACAATATAATAATAATTTTTATATTCATAAAATACATATTATTATAATGTAACCATACTATTTTTTTTTGCGTTTTGGAGATGGGTTAGTAGTTCCAGATGTTTCAGTATGACTTCCTTCCCCTTGACTCATAGTGACCTAACCGAAAAAAACCTTTAAAAACCGAAAAAATTGAACTTTAAAAATTAGGGTTAGGGTTTTGGTTAGGTTTTTTAAACATTTGAAAATAATGGTTTCGGTTAAGTTACGGTTAATAATTAACACAAGGTTCCCGGTTCTATAACCGGTTATTTTCGGTCCGGTTACAGTCCCTGGTGTGTACTATAGTCTATATGTATATGTCTATATTATACTTATCATAATATCTAGGTCTCTGCTATACTTAAAACAAACACCTACAATTTAAAATGTATTATTAATTGAAATTGTAATAATAATATTTACCTAATTAATTAATCACGATTTATGAAATAAATGATATAAAAAATAATAAAGTTGAAAGAGAAATTAAAAATTAAAAACATTTTTTGAAGTAAACATTTTACAATCCACAATGTTTATTGTACCATAGTAAACAAAACAACTTTATTTCTTATGTTGCGATATTTATTTGAATGCTGTTTATTACTATTAATTAGTATTAATCATCGATTAAAGTCGTTAGTCATTGTGTAAGTTCCCTATTACTCAAGTATCCTGAAATAGTGAAATCATAAGTATAATGCCAAATATCTGAACTCTGAATGAATTTTCGGAATCCAGACATTGAAGTATTGAACTTATTTACTTGTGCATGTATAGTACACAACATCTGCTGTCTTCGTTATCGTTTTTAGAATACGTTTCACCGGTAGCCTAACTTGTTGGTTACTATACGCTACGCATATAATACTGACTGTCTATTCTGTTGCCTACACTCTAAATAGTAGGCGTTATACTTCCAATCGCGATAAATTATGAATAGGATTATATTTTGTCGGTAAATATGTAAACGAATTTTCATTGAGTTTATACTTAAAATCTCGATCCCTTCTTCTATAAAGCTAAGTGAAGTATTATCTTATCGGTAATTTACGTGAAAAGGTCTCGACTTCTGTTAATGACTCCGTTTGTATGCAAATATTGTTCAGTTTGCAATTTTAGAGCCAAATCCATCCAGCAGAGTAATGTCAAATTGCATGGTAAGTTAAACAAGCTAAACACTGGAAAGTTCTCTGTTGGGCATTAGGTCGGTGGAGCTCTAAATGACAATGAATTAACGGTCTGTTCCTCGACTCTTCCTCTTCCTGTGAAATTAAAAGCATCCAACACTATGTAGGTAATTTCAATAATGCCTCTAAATCTCTGTCTCCTGCTCCAGTGACCGAGTTCAGCGAAGGAGGACTACTGCCTTGTTCTCTCAATTTGTTAATGGCATAAAGATTAATTGTTTAAGAATGTGCCAATTTTTTATGTGTCTTATGTTTCTTCATACTGAATACCATTAGGATTTTATTCTACTACAAGATGATGAGAATAATGTATTAAACAGTCATAATAATTCATCAATTATGAGAATGCGGACCTGCGTCCATCATTCCTAATAGTGGACTAAATCAATTACTTCTTATGTATACTATATTATTTGTTAATTGTTGTTGTAACTTTATTTTATGTACTTTAAATGTGAGATTATTATCATCCAAAATTTGTATTGGGCTTATCCTGTTTTAAATAAATAAATATAGGTATAGTGCATTGATTAGTGGTGGTTACGCGGATGATTACGTTTTTTATAAACTCCGTTTGAGATACGCGTGTAAACCACCAATCAAGCATTTTCTCAAGGGTTAGTGTTTAGAGGTCACTTTTCGTAATTTTGTAAAACCCGTTTTCTTTTTAAATGTTATTTGGCCCACGATATTCTCATCGTTAATAATTGGGTAATTCGTACACGCGCCGTCACTCAACAAGCCACATGATCGGAATGTTATACATTTATAATAACAACGCCCGGGCTTCTCAATTCGGTGTAGTAAACACACAAATAATAAGCGGATCCATGACTGACGATTTTAGTGATAATTGGTATTTATCATAATATACTTAGCGTGTTATTTTTATCGCATGTGTTACACACTTTTACACACCTACTCCTAAACAACGGCACCCGCAGGGGGGACCCAACTAGATTATTAATAAAAAAAAATCATAAAATAACATATCCGACATTCTAAAATCAACTATAAGCATCCAGTGGATACACAATAATGTAGTGTTTATATAGGACTATTTTTAGTTCTAAGTGGAGCCAAACGCGTATTAGTTTTACAAAGATGTGTGTTTTTGTCAGTTATCGTCTTTTAGTATGTAAAAATGTTTCAATATTTAACTTAAATATATTTTTTGGTTGGAAACATTAGTTCGTACTTTGGAGCCTCGGAAGGTGAAAGGTAAAAAATTCCTACTTATTTTATTAATAATTGGGATAAACAAAACATTTTTGTTTTTATCTTGGTGACTATAATGTCGCAATATTTAGTAAGGAAGTATTTTAAAATGTTATTGGTAATTTAACATTTTTGTTAAGGGTAAATCAATTGTTTTTGATCAACATATAGCTCCTAAAATGTACTCCCTAATTTATTCTTTTAGATAATTTTTGTTTGTCAGAATACCAAATTAATTAAGGCAGATATAGAGGCTAATATTGTTTATATAAAACTGTCTAATTATGTGGTGTTTGATTATTAGTTTTTTTTTTAATTATATAAAATA